TGAACATCAGCGCGGAGCGGGTCTACGCCTTCGCCTACAGCAGCGAGCCCGGGCAGGTAGGAGCGTCCCTCGGGGCACCCCGGGCCACCGCCGCCCTCCGCGCTGAATCCCGCTGCCGGGGGGGGGTGTGTGTCTGTGTCCCGCCTCGTTCGCTCGCCGCCGGCCCCTCCACGCGGGTGGGTATCGCGGGTGCCTGCGGCTCCCTCTTGGTTTTTCTGTGAGGAAGCGGCCTCTGGCCCTTCCCGCCCCCTGGGACACCTCAGGGGTACAGAGGACACCCACCCCATCCCCTCGAATTAGAGCCGCGCCTTGGCAACGCCGGCCTAGCGCAGAGGGAGGGGGGGGGTTAGGGTGGGTGTCTTTACACTCCACAGAGAAAATCCACGTGAGCTGCTCCCAGCAGTGTCACTCTACCGTGTCTTCCACCTTTCACCTTAATTTTTCCACGCACTCATTTCATTAATATCCCTCCTCGCTGCAAACACCCTCCCAAGCTGTCTCAATGTCTCTCGGAGGAAGCCTTGGAAAATTTCCCCATGCGATAAGGTATTCCAAATCCTATTATGGGTAATTAAGAGCAGAATGTCACACAAACTATTAAATTAAGGTGCCATCAAATGAAAGAGTTGCCCTCGACTGTATGTCAACAAACAGATCTCATCAGCTGAGGAAGGGTGTACCTCCCTACCCACAAGGAATTTCTACCTTCCACAAAGGAACTGGCTGCTCTTAAATGTGTCGTTTAGCTTATACACAAGCGTAATACATTTCCTATAGACTTGCCCCATGAATGTGCCACAGATCCCCCACTTTCCTGTCACATACGTGCAGACAAGATGTAAATTACTCTGAAGGGTTAAAGGTAACATATTACAGTGTGAGCTTGATATTTTGTCTGTGGGAGCTGGAAAGGGAAGACATACAGTTTGTCAGACTTTCAATCAAAACTCCTTCCCTACTTAAGGAGAAAAACTTCATTTCAGCAACATTTTCTGGTGCTTGAGGTCTTCATCAATCTATCTCTGGCTTTACCAACATCACTGTGAGAAGATCCATGTGAAAGTGCAGATGGTAATAGTTAATGTGCTGAGGGTAGGAATTTGTGTGGCATGTGATACAAAAAGAAAATGATTGAAATTATGAGGGGAGAAAAAAGTGACAGAGAAATACTATCAGCAATTGCCTCTGCTGAAATGCTGCAAATGTGGCTAAGTCTTTTTGTACTGGAGGTTGCCCCTGAACTTCAGTTTCTAGCTAGGCACTAAACATAGATACCACATGCAACCTGAAATTGAACATCAGAGTTCAGCCTGTGATAAAACAAATCCTTGATTCCAGGCACATGTGCAAGGCAACACACTGGATTCATTACTCTCGGTTTATTTGAAAATTTGGAACCCAAAAGTATAAATTAAGGGCATATCTGGAATTCTCTCCTAACGTCACCTTGAATTGTCTTGAAGAATAAGGTCTGCTGAAGAAGAAACAATACAGGCACAATTAGATCAATACATCATCCACTTTGAAACCTCTTAAACCTCTCTGCTATTATTAATTACAATCAAACAGATGTTAAATACCTAATACAAGCAAATATAATACAAGGCAGAGACACTTCCCATTCAACCAGCCTATTCTCAAACACTTGAGCCACCTATAAGAAAATGGGGAGCAGATTCGGTCAGATGTCTTAAAAGCTTGTCTACCTTTCAGCTCTTGTTGTTCTTCACACTGCATTTACAGCAGAGTCTGAAAATGTTGCGTTATCTCTGCAGAAGCCAGCTGAGCATCTACAGCATCTATTAACTCACAGTGGAGCTTACATAAGATGAAGACAACATATTCAAACAGCAGTGGTTTAAAACCATCAGGTTTCCAAACAATCTGGCTTGTTACACATTTATACTCTTTACCCTTCTAAGCTAATATTATGTGAGGAATTTCTTTGTAATTAAGATCTTTCATCTATCTTGGATGTTTTTGCAGCCCTGGTTACCAGGATAAATGTCATTTCTTTGCTGGGATTTTTTGCCCAATAGCAATGAGATTTTCTACTTTTGTGCTATAGGAAAAACAAACAAACAAACAAAACGCCAAAAAAAACAAATCAAACACAAAAACCCCTCACCACACTTTTGTGAGCCTCTGGTTCAGCACAGATCCTCCTTTCCCTAAGACACTCACAACCCCAGGATTTGCTTATACTGGAAAAATGGGCTATGTTAGGAAATCTGTGCCCACCACAGCCAGAGGTAAGGCCCCTGAGAGCATCATCTCCCTTCCTGGGAGTCATGCACCCTGGACCCACTGCTGACCTAGAGACAGCGCAGCTGGGGGCTGCCCCCCTTCCCTCTAGGGACCTCGGAGGGCTGCAGGGAGACCACAGCAAGGGCTGATCTTCCCCTTCCCATGGCAGCATTCAGTTGAGGCTGTGGTGCTTAGTGGGCTGAGCTGGAGCTATGTCTGGATCCATCAACCCAGACCTCTGGCCAGACCTCAGACCTGCCTCACTTCTACAGCCTCGCCTGCTGATCAGGGGGCTACATCCATCCCCTGACTCACTGTATTATCTTCCTAGCTTGACCTCAAACCTATCCCATCACCATCGATTTATCTGGTGATCTGAACTCTCTGTTGACCCCAGCTGCCATCTCCAGGCCTTGCCCAGCTCACCTTGTTCAGATCCTGGGGGATGGGTCCCTGGCCAATGAGGTCCCTGCTCCACTGGCCATGTTACAGCACTCGGCTCCCTGTCAGTCCTTCAGGGAGCAGCCAGCCCTCGTTGGCCCCTGACACCAGTGTACAGAGGCACATACAGGAATACCAGACCACTTCCACTGCCCCAGGCCCATGGTCTGTCTGGATCAGCATCTTCTCTCTTACAGGGACTAGTTCTTTCTTCCAAAATACCTGCTACTGTTCAAGAACAAGATCCAGGTGGAAGCGTAAAAGGAAAAATGGGCTATTCACCTTTACCAGAGGGGCTGAGTGAAGAGTTACAAATCACCCACCCTCCATTTATCTGGAAAGATAATGAAACAAGCCATTCGGCAATCAGTGTGTGAGCAACTAAATAACAGTAAAGTGATGAGAAGCAGGCAGTGTGCATTGTCCAGAACAAATCATGTCAAAGTAACCTAATTTATTTCTTTGCTGAGATAATTGAGTTAGCAGGTGCTGAAAGGAATAGATGAAACATATTTTGACTTTAGCGGGGCTTTTGACAGTACCTTGAACACTACTCCCATAAAGGCAAATAGGTCTCAGATGGTATTAACATGAGAGGGGTGTGTGATTGAAAAGCAACTCCCAAACCATAGCAATGATTCATCAGATTAAGAGATCTGATCTGTCTGCTAGGATTGATTACCTTAATTAACGACTTGAATGGTGGAATTGACCTTTGACTTCAAACTTCTGCAAATAACAGCAAGTTGGGCACTTTGGAGGTGAAGATTTGAAGAAAGGTTTAACATTGCTAAATTGCAGAAGGAGCCTCCAAACAGTAAGATGAAATTCAATAAAGACAAGAACATAGTATTACAGTTCAAAAAGAAAACTTGAATTCTCAAATTCAAAATGAGGAAAAAATGCATAGTCTTTGCTAAGATATCAGAATGTACATCCACGCAGGGCAAGTACATTAAGAAATCCATAACTCTGCTTTGGAAAGTGTGGACTATATGAAGAGCCACTTCTTTGTCATGAACACATGTAGGGAGGGACAATCTCTCGACCCTGTACTGATGTCCCAATTTGAAATACACATGGCACTAAATTACACAAAAATCATTTGCAGCTGCCTGAGCTACTTCAGTTGGCAGAATACTGGTCTTGTGCCATCTGTCACATTGCTCTGAGCGAGCTGGCATGGCCCTGACATGCTTTTGCTTTGCTGTACCTCCTCCTGTTGCCTGAAGCCTCTCCTCTCTGGGAGAAGAGGTGCACAGCAGGATGCCCAGGCTGAAAGGCAAACTCCTTGTATTGGAGTGTCCATCTTCCAACAAATCTCAAATGTAGGGGTTTTTTTTTTGCCATTAACGCCACTTCTTGGGATTCTGACAAAGGTAGGGTGACTTGAACAGCAAGCAGTCTGCTTCAAGACAAACATGGAAATCACTGACAATTCTTCTTTTTTTTTTTTTTTTTTTTTTTGGCTCGTTTTGCTGAGCTTTGCAACTTTTCCTCCAAAGATGACAAGTGACCCCAGGGAAATCTCTGTCTTGAAAACAAACCCCAGAGGTTTGGAAAGCCTCTGGAGCTGGAGTCACCTCTGTTGGAGACTGCAGGCTGGCTTTATAGCACTGCGGCTCCTACGGGTTCATCCTCAGTCTGAAAAACCTTTCTGGTCTTCTTGGATGTGGAAGTGCATCCCTTCACCGTGGGATCTAATTAATTGAATTAGAAAATGAACGCACTAATCCTCACTCTAATGGCAAAAATCCCCACCCCTCTTTCAAAGAAGCTTCATTTTCCATCCTCTTCCTCCTTCCACCCTGATCATAAAAATCCAACTTTTTACTGGTAGCGTAACTTAAAATTTTAACATACAGAATGATTTTTTGTGGCTAGAAAAGCATTATAATAGATTTGTGTCTTGATATATTAGAAGTATTTTTAATATATGATAATGTTTGAATACTCTAATGTATCTCATTCATTTCGTCATTCATTTCCCAGATGTGTTTTCAACAGAAGAACATAGGAGGGGTAAACTGTGAGAAAGAGACCCCTGGCCCTTTCACAGCCCAACAGTATCGCTTTCATCCTGCTGAGAAGTGTAAGAGCATCACAGTATTGTTTGTAGCAGCTTCATGAACAACTCAGTGTGTGAGATGTGCTAATCCACGCTTGAATTAACAAAATGACATTTTGCTGTAGCCTTCCACACCTCTGGACTGAACTAAAAGATGAAGGCATTTACCCCAAAGTTATGAGCAGCCAGAAATAAAGGCTGGGAATGGTCGCCAAGGTGTATTGGGGGTGCAAGCTGCCGCTCCAGTGAGGACGCCCCTAAACCCGGTGAGCCGGGGGTATTGAAGCCCTGTGGATCTGC